ACATGTTGAACACCAAATACCTGTACTTTCTACTTCTCACATGTTGAACTCAAATACCTGTACTTTCTACTTCTCACATGTTGAAACTCAAATACCTGTACTTTCTACTTCTTACATGTTGAACTCAAATACTGCTTTACTTTCTACTTCTCACATGTTGAACTCAAATACCTGTACTTTCTACTTCTCACTGTTGAACTCAAATACCTGTACTTTCTACTTCTCCATGTTTAACTCAATACCTGTACTTTCTACTACTCTTACATGTTGAACACAAATACCTTACTTTCTACTTCTTACATGTTGAACTCAAATACCTGTACTTTCTACTTCTACATGTTGAACTCAAATACCTGTACTTTCTACTTCTTACATGTTGAACTCAATACCTGTACTTTACTCTTACTTACATGTTTGGAACTCAATACCTGTACTTCTACTTCTCACATGTTGAACTCAAATACCTGTACTTTCTACTTCTCACATGTTAACTCAAATACCTGTACTTCTACTTCTTACATGTTGAACTCAATACCTGTACTTTCTACTTCTCACATGTTTGAACTCAAATACCTGTACTTTCTACTTCTCACATGTTGAACTCAAATACCTGTACTTTCTACTTCTTACATGTGAACCAAATACCTGTACTTTCTGCTTCTTACATGTTAACAACAAATACCTGTACTTTCTACTTCTATATGTTGACTCAAATACCTGTACTTTCTACTCTCACATGTTGAACACAAATACCTGTACTTTCTACTTCTATGTTGAACTCAAATACCTGTACTTTCTACTTCTTACATGTTGAACCAAATACCTGTACTTTCTACTTCTCACATGTTGAACTCAAATACCTGTACTTTCTACTTCCGATATGTTGAACTCAAATACCTGTACTTTCTACTTCTTACATGTTGAAACCAAATACCTGTACTTTCTACTTCTTACATGTTGAACTCAAATACCTGTACTTTCCTACTTCTTACACATGTTGAAACGCAAATACCTGTACTTTCTACTTCTACATGTTTGAACTCAAATACCTGTACTTTCTACTTCTTCAGTGTTGAACTCAAATACTGGTACTTTCTACTTCTTCACATGTTGAACTCAAATACCGGTACTTTCTACTTCGTCACATGTTGAACTCAAATACCTGTACTTTCTACTTCTTACAATGTTGAACACAAATACCTTACTTTCTACTTGCTACATGTGAACCTCAAATACCGTACTTTCTACTTCGTACATGTTGAACTCAAATACCTGTACTTCTACTTCTTACATGTTGAACATCAAATACCTGTACTTTCTACTTCTTACATGTTGAACTCAAATACCTGTACTTTCTACTTCTTACATGTTGAACACAAATACCTGTACTTTCTACTTGCGTACATGTTGAACTCAAATACCTGTACTTTCTACTTCTTACATGTTGAACTCAAATACCTGGTACTTTCTACTTCTTACATGTTGAACTCAAATACCTGTACTTTCTACTTCTTACTGTTGAACTCAAATACCTGTACTTTCTACTTCTTACATGTTGAACTCAAATACCGTACTTTCTACTTCTTACATGTTGAACTCAATACCTGTACTTTCTACTTCTTACATGTTGAACTCAAATACCTGTACTTTCTACTTCTTACTGTTGAACCAAATACCTGTACTTTCTACTTCTCACATGTTGAACTCAAATACCTGTACTTTCTACTTCTTACATGTTGAACTCAAAACTTGTACTTTCTACTTCTCTCATTTCCAAACAGCTGGTTCCTTTAGTCTGAATTGTGTTTGGTGCGTGATCATTATTCTTTAGAGTCATTGCGTGCCTATTGATTTGAACACGATCCGTGTATCCATCATTTCCTGGTGTTCTCTAAAGAAGAGGGACCAATGGAAACGTTGTCATGTTGCCGTTGTTCAGCATGGAAACATTCATTAGCTAACAATGACATTATTGTTCTATTAATATAAAGGGAGGTCAGGTACTCTTTAAAACAGCTGCTAGTTATGGGTACTTTTTACTGAAGTACATTTCAAAGCCCTCTTTAATTTTACTTGAGTAAAGAAGTTTAATCAGTACTTCTACTTTCAACAGAGTATTTTTAAACACGAGTATCTGTACTTCTACTTGAGTAAAGGTAGGATGTGTGTACTTTTGCCCTCTCTGGTGATGAGTGTCTCTTACTTGCTGAGCAGAGCTGTGAGCAGGCTCTCTGGCAGGGGGAGATGAGAGGCTTTACAGATGCTTCTCACCTCTTTGCTGGAGAGACGCCCCGTCCTGCAGAAACACAGAGAAACTGAGACATGGGTATCAGGTGGGCAAAAAAAGCCAAGATTTGAGACTGTGATTATTTGAATAATGCTTAAAGAAAACACTCTCTCTCCTTAGAGGGTAGAATCGACATTTACTGAAAATAATTCACACTTAGGGATATTTTTATAAAACCACTGAGCGATGGAGGTGCTACAGAAAGCTTTAAACTATCATTATTTTAGGACCAGACTTAGGGAAAAAAGCCATTACTCATGAACACTTCCTATTCCATTTCAAATGATTTGTTAACCAGGCAATAGGGTTTAGTTTGAGTTTTTCTTAAAGGATATCGGTTTGTTTTATCCTCATTTCACGGCTGAGTTTAATACTCCATTCTGATTGGTCAATTTAAACATTTAGCAGTGTAAATAAATAAAGTTTATTTTGTATTATTTTATTATTCAGGATCTCCTAACCTGAGATCAAATTGGATGGAGTTTGAAAAGTTTGTCTTTGCTTCTGTCATACCAATCTCATTGCTGCCAGTGCTGATTCAGTCACATCATATTTTTGAGGTGTGTGTGTGTGGTGTGTGTGTGAGTGTGTGTGTGTGTGTGTGTGTGTGTGTGTGTGTGTGTGTGTGTGTGTGTGTGTGTGTGTGTGGGTGTGTGTGTGTGGTGTGTGTTTCTCTCCAAGACTACAGCTGTTTTCCACAGTGATGTCATTCTCGTCATGCCATCTTCATCTCAGAGATGTTGATGAGCTGACACTAACGGACACACACACACACACACACACACACACACACACACACACACACACACACACACACACACACACACACACACACACACACACACACACACACACACACACACACACACACACACACACACACACACACACACACACACACACACAGCTAGCCTGTCCCAAGTTACTACTATAAACTGAGGGGTGTTTCATGTAGTGTGACACCCAGCATGTGTGTGTCCTCTGGCCTGAGAGACACCCAGCATGTGTGTGTCCTCCGGCCTGAGAGACACCCAGCATGTGTGTGTCCTCCGGCCTGAGAGACACCCAGCGTGTGTGTGTCCTCTGGCCTGAGAGACACCCAGCATGTGTGTGTCCTCCGGCCTGAGAGACACCCAGCGTGTGTGTGTCCTCCGGCCTGAGAGACACCCAGCGTGTGTGTGTCCTCTGGCCTGAGAGACAGCGAGCATGTGTGTGTCCTCCGGCCTGAGAGACACCCAGCATGTGTGTGTCCTCCGGCCTGAGAGACAGCGAGCATGTGTGTGTCCTCCGGCCTGAGAGACACCCAGCATGTGTGTGTCCTCCGGCCTGAGAGACACCCAGCGTGTGTGTGTCCTCTGGCCTGAGAGACACCCAGCATGTGTGTGTCCTCCGGCCTGAGAGACAGCGAGCATGTGTGTGTCCTCCGGCCTGAGAGACACCCAGCATGTGTGTGTCCTCCGGCCTGAGAGACACCCAGCGTGTGTGTGTCCTCTGGCCTGAGAGACAGCGAGCATGTGTGTGTCCTCCGGCCTGAGAGACACCCAGCGTGTGTGTGTGTCCTCTGGCCTGAGAGACACCCAGCATGTGTGTGTCCTCTGGCCTCTCAACCCGTCTGATGTTATAAACTACAGGCCTGTCTCTCTCCTCCCGTTCCTGTCTAAAACACTGGAACGCGCTGTCTTTAAACAACTCTCCTGTTATCTCCATCAGAACAACCTTCTGGATCCGCACCAGTCTGGTTTCAAGGCAGGTCACTCCACAGAAACTGCTCTCATTGCTGTCTCTGAAGAACTGCACACTGCTAAAACTGCATCCCTCTCCTCTGTCATCATCCTGTTGGACCTGTCTGCTGCATTCGACACGGTGAATCATCAGATCCTCCTTCACACTCTCCAAGAACTTGGAGTTTCAGGCTCTGCTCTTTCCCTCCTCACCTCATACCTCAAAGACCGCACCTACAGGGTGACTTGGAGAGGGTCTGAGTCCGACCCTTGTCAATTAACTACAGGGGTCCCTCAGGGCTCTGTTCTTGGTCCCCTCCTCTTCTCCCTGTACACAAACTCGCTCGGATCAGTCATTAGCCCGCATGGTTTTTCTTACCACTGCTACGCTGACGACACCCAATTAATTCTGTCCTTTCCCCGCTCAGAGACCCAGGTCGTTGCACGCATCTCTGCTTGTCTAGCTGACATCTCTCAGTGGATGTCTGCTCATCACCTCAAGCTCAACCTTGACAAGACTGAGCTGCTCTTCCTCCCGGGAAAAGATTGTCCCAACTCTTGACCTAACAATCAACATCGGCACCTCAGTTGTTTCCCCCGACTCAGACTGCAAGGAATCTGGGTGTGACCCTAGATAACAACCTGTCCTTCACTGCAAACATCGCTGCTACAACCCGTTGCTGCAGATACACGCTTTACAACATCAGGAGGATACGTCCCCAGCTGACCCAGAAAGCGACGCAGGTTCTGGTCCAGGCTCTCGTCATCTCACGCCTAGACTACTGCAACTCCCTCCTGGCTGGTCTACCTGCATGTGCCATCCGACCTCTGCAGCTCATCCAGAATGCAGCGGCTCGTCTGGTCTTCAACCTTCCTAAATTCTCCCACACCACTTCGCTCCTCCGCTCCCTTCACTGGCTTCCGGTAACTGCTAGAATCCACTTCAAGACACTGGTACTTGCTTACCATGCTGCGAATGGATCTGGCCCTTCCTACATCCAGGACATGGTTAAACCGTACACCCCAGCGCGTGCACTACGCTCTGCATCAGCCAAACGACTCGCTGCACCCTAACTGCGAGGGGGACGCAAGTTCCCATCAGCAAAAACACGTGGGTTTGCTATCCTGGCTCCAAGATGGTGGAATGAGCTCCCCATTGACATCAGGACAGCAGATAGCTTGCACATCTTCCGGCACAGACTGAAAACTCATCTCTTTCGACTCCAATTCGAGCGATAGAATTACTAACAAAGCACTTTTATACTAATAAAGGGCTGGCTTATCTAAAGCCAGTTGAGTAGCACTTGAAATGTTTGGCTCTATGAAACCTGATGTACTTTATGATTCTGTTTTCTTCAAGGTTGTGTCTTGTTGGTCGAACGCACTTATTGTAAGTCGCTTCGGATAAAAGCGTCAGCTAAATACAATGTAATGTAATAATGTAATGAGAGACACCCAGCATGTGTGTGCCCTCTGGCCTGAGAGACAGCGAGTGTGTGTGTGTGTGTGTGTGTCCTCTGGCCTGAGAGACAGTGAGTGTGTGTGTGTGTCCTCTGGCCTAAGAGACAGCGAGTGTGTGTGTGTGTGTGTGTGTGTGTGTGTGTGTGTGTGTGTGTGTGTGTGTGTGTGTGTGTGTGTTGTGTGTGTTGTGTGTGGTGTGTGTGTGTGTGTGTGTGTGTGTGTGTGTGTGTGTGTGTCCTCTGGCCTGAGAGACAGTGAGTGTGTGTGTGTGTGTCCTCTGGCCTGAGAGCCACCAAGCATGTGTGTGTCCTCTGGCCTGAGAGACAGCGTGTGTGTGTGTGTGTGTGTGTGTGTGTATGTGTATGTGTATGTGTATGTGTATGTGTGTGTGTGTGTGTGTGTGTGTGTGTGTGTGTGTGTGTGTGTGTGTGTGTGTGTGTGTGTGTGTGTGTGTGTGTGTGTGTGTGTGTGTGTGTGTGTGTGTGTGTGTGTGTGTGTGTTCAGGCTCCATCTGGTTCCAATGCTGCTCTCTCTCTCCTGCTGGAACTAATCGCTGCTTTGAGATATGGGGCCCGAAACGGCACGATTGATGTCTTGTTGTGACGCTGCCGCCGTGTGTGTTTCTGTGTGTTTATGCTGCGTCTCAAGGAGGGCCTCGCAGCCAAATGACTTCTCAAGCAATTTCCGAGGATGGAATAAAATCATTTTGGATTTGTTTTGGTGTAAGGTAATCAGAAAACTCTGCTATGTGTAATTCAGTCTTTTACCGTCTAGATGTCGACACATTATCCTGTGTTTTTAAGAGTTGGTTCGTGAAAATAGTCAAGTTTAATAAAGTGAACATTGTAATCAAACAGTAAATAGGACGGTCAGACCTCACTTTCCCTGTCTCAACCACAATTATGTCTTCTCTCTTAGTGTTTAAAAAAAAAAATCAAATTGTAGTGTGTGTGTGTGTGTGTGTGTGTGTGTGTGTGTGTGTGTGTGTGTGTGTGTGTGTGTGTGTGTGTGTGTGTGTGTGTGTGTGTGTGTGTCTCTACTTGTGCCAGTCGCAGTGCAGGAAGTTTCTGGCCATGTGGGGCAGATCTTCAAACTGCTTCTTCCTCAGGATGTCCTGGGCCACGGCCAGCATCAGACCCACGTCGGCCTCCTGCTGTTCGCTCTGTGAGAAACACCGGGCCAGAACCAGAACCTCGTGATCCGACAGAACGCAGTCCAGACCCGACATCAGGACCCTGTGGAGCGTACAGACACATTAGTGAAATAAGACACACACACTAACAAGATATTCAAAGGTTTCACACTCCTAAGTTGCTCTTTCTGTTCTTCCTTTTGCAACTTTTCTTGTAATATTCACATAATTGGAACTGGACTGGTCATTCTCTGAAATCAATGATGTCTCTAGCTAAGCTCCCTGGCGCATATTTGATTTGTTCTTCCTGACAAATATATTATCAGGTGGATTGAAATGCATTGACACCAGTGACAATCAGTACAATAACAAATAACAGAGTTTGGTGCCGTTAAACTAACATGGCATTATGGGAATTGTTGTTCTCCTCCTCTCCAGCCAACAGTCTGGATGTATAAAACCAATAAATACACAAAGTAGCTTAAATTGAATATAATATCTGTGTTTCTCCATTGCACACAGGCAGAGAGCTACAAGCTAATGGCTAACGATTGCTTAGCTTGCGTTTATGATAACTTAACATCCAGACATTCAATGACTTAAATCCTTCATCCAGTTGAATTTGAGTTACTGGTCGAACTCAGTAAACTCTGATGCTCCACGTCTATCCACATACAGTATATATATATATAGAATATTGCAGTGCTGTACCTGAACGACTCATAGGGGATGAAGCCGGTTTTGCTGGGGTCGCTGAGCGCCAGGAACTTCCTGATCTCGCTCCGTTTCTCCTCCCCGATGGACCGCAGTTTACTCAGGATGTTTCCCACGTTGGCTTTGGGGAACTTCAGACGATGACAGAGAGAAAAATCAACCGTTAAAAGCCTGCTCCAAAGAACACCACTGCTTGAAACCCAACATGAACCTTAGTAAAGACGACAATAGGGAATATCCCTCTGTACCTCCTCAGCATGTTTCTCCATGTAGTTGAGGGTGTACTCATCGGCGTCCAGGAGTTTGAAGGGCTTTTCGTTGAGGACGAGGGTCGCTCCCACGTACAGATCCTGAGGAGTGAAGTACTCGGACGGCTGGCTCTTGAACAGCTGCTGGCCCGGCTTCTTTACACGGCCTCGCTCCAGGAACTTACCACCAAGCACACCTGAGGGGACGCATGATGGTTAGTGTTGGGAAAATCCTGAATGTCCTCTTCCAGTATGATAACAAAGGTATCCCAACTGCAGCTGTGAACATGACAGGATGTGTGATTACCTAGAAGAGCATCAGGACTGTTTGAGGCATATGATAGCTATGTGATTAACATGATGATTCAGCCTCTATGGAGAGAGACATCAAGCATGCTCATTTCTGACGTGGAGCTAATCTGAACTAAACATTGAATACTGCTTTCTATTCCTCCATCTTGGGACTGTGTGAGAATTTAGAGAAAAAGTCAGAATTGAGAGATTTTGAGAAAAAGTCAGGATTTTGAGAAAAAGTCAGGATTTTGAGAAAAAGTCAGGATTTTGAGAAAAAGTCAAACATTTTAGATTTTGATAAAAGATTCTGAATTTTGACAAAAAGTCAGAATTTTGAGATTTCGAGAAAAAGTCATTATTTTGACAGCACATGACAGGATCAGTGGCGACTGGTCATTAGGGGCACAGCCCCACCTAGTGTCAGCAGAAAGTATTAAAAATAATGATTACAAAAAAATGCAAAAAATGAATTAAAAAATATATTAAATATATGTTAAGATCATGTTTAATCATCTGATTCGTCTCATTGCTGTTTTAGTCTGTGTTCTTCTAATTAGTGTCTACAGTGTGTGCCTATTGAGCTGTTTAGAGCCATGTGGGACAAAACCCGATCCTGCCCCTCCCTCTCTCTGTGAACGGTGACTGTAAAAACTACACTGCGCATGCTCAGAATATGTTCCTATTTAATGTGTGTGGCAACAAAATAATGACCATAGGGGCAAAGAGCTGCCATCCCCACCATACGTCATCTCACATCATTCAGAGCTGATTGGCTGTAAGTACGTGTGCCGCGAAAAGTGTGGTGTGTGAAGAGGAGACGAGAGAGCTGCAGTGACGCATCCTAAAACCCGGAAGTAAGCTGCGCATGGCTTCCCTCGACAAAAAAGCAATGATATTTCTCCATAGGATTTTAGAAAATAGCTCCAAATAAGGTCTGTGGGAAACGTAGCTGTTAGATAAATGTGCGTTTTGTTCAGCCGGATAATATCCACATGTCTACCCTACTTTTATCATTTTCGAATCATAAATCTATTGATTAGATTAGATTTATGATAGACTTTTGAAACTACAAGAACATAAGGAGGACTTTTACAAAAAAGTAATAGAGATTTTTGTCCAGAAGGATAGGCAAATGGACTTCATCTTCAAGTCAAGGTAAGACTGCTGTATTGATAATGGGATCTTACTGAGAGAGAACAATTCAATATTTAAATGATACAATTACATTTTTTGGGTATCCTTCTGTTGAACTGTCTGTTTAAAATTATTCGAAGCATCAGACGAAAAAAGCTTTTGAAAATAATATTATATTTTGATTTACGTCAAAATATAATATTTGTAAACCTGAAGAGTCAGAGCCTCACCAGCCATGAACCTCACTGCAGAAGCTTATAGACATCTAAGTTTGTGTGCCCCACCACTTTTGTACATATAAAAACGCCACTGGACAGGATGTATGATTACCTAGAAGAACCGGTATTCCTCCATCTCGTGACTGTGTAACTCCCTCTCTTGTATATCAGCATGTGAAGGACACTGTTCAGGAACTAGTTGACGGTGACCAGTGATATTTTTCTAACAATCATGCTGCTAAACTGTTCAATTTAATTTTAATTGAAATTAAAGTACTATTGATACTGTTGTTTTATTGACTGGAGCTTATTTTGGAGCCATGTTAAATACTGCTTGAATCCATGGGGTACATTTCATCTTGTATGGTAAAACATTTGTCAAATACTCTATCACGGCAAAAAAAGTAGATTTTAAGGCTCGTTCACACCGGACGTGATGCGATTTTTCGGTGCGTCACGATTATATGTAAAGTCAATGCAAAGACGTAGATAGACGTGAATTCGCTCAATCGTAAGAATAGATTTTTACTAACATTGTTATCCCAAAAAAAATGGTCTTTTTTGTTTTATGTGTCTTTTAGTAAAGTCATTCTAATGGAATACTTTTTTTTGGTATCTGGACTGAACGTCATCTTTGTTATCTGATTTTTGGAATTGGAAAGTGAGTCTGACAAACCTAATGTTTTGGGAGCTCTAGCTTTAACCAATTCATCAATGAATTGGAGGAGCTCTGGTCCATGTATGTCTTTACCTGAGTTCTTCTGAGCGCGCTCAAACACACTGATGGAGTCGTCGCTGAGGTAGAAGGAGATGACGAACACTCGCTCTCTGTCCACTGGGTCGCTGGTCACCGTCTTGGCACGGAAATTCAAAATATTGCTTTCTAAGCCACATCTAGGGGATCATGTGGAGAGCAGAGTCAGACACAAACATCTCAGCGTGTAGTTTGATTGAGTCTGTGTGACAATAACAAATAACAGAGATGCATGGGATTACGGGAGCTGTTGTCTTTATAGCCATTGCAAACAGTCTGCATGTAGAAAACCAGTGAAAACACTGAAAAAGTAGCTTAAATTGAATAAAAGATCTGTGTTTCTCCATTGCACACAGCCATATGGCTACGAGCTAATGACTAACAGTTGGTTAGCTTGTTTTTATGATAACTTAAGATCCAGACATCCCATGACTTAAATCCTTCATCCAGTTGAATTTGAGTAACTGCCCCAACTCATCCCAGTAGACTCTGATGCTCCACTTATATCCACATATATATACGATAATACTTGAATGGTCAGATCAAGTCTGAAATGTGACTTGCATCACAGCAGCTCCATGTGTAACATCAACATGGACAGATATCAAGACACAATACATGAAAAACAAACATTTAACAAAACAGCACAATCACTGAGAGAAAACATGCTCGAATATATATAATATATATATATATATATATATAGAATATTGTGTGACTGAGCAACTCGTCCAACCTGTCTTTGTCCATGAACTTGCGGAAGTCTTTCTGCGGGGGTTTGGGCAGCAGACGCTGGCAGGAGCTCAGCGAGTCCTCCTCCGATCCAAAGCCGTTGTAGGGGGGCACCGGGCGGGGGGGCTTCGGGGCCACGGGGCCTTTGTACTGCAGCGGGGTGAACTCCTCTGAAGGGGAGGAGGAGACAAGAAGAACAAGAGTTTGGTAAAGGTCTCCTATTACCAAACTTGTTAGGCATTATATTACAGGTCTCAGATATATAAAAAAGCATGTCGATGAAGTGTTTTGTTCAAAATACCAAACAGGTCACCGATTCTAGCCTCATCCCCGTCTATTTCAGCCCTGCTACTAAAGTGATGATTCTGGGTCTGAGAGAGACGAGAGCTCATGCAGGAGAATTCGACCAGCAGAAACTCAGCTAAATGCTGCCGTTGATTCAATGCCATAGTATGTTCCAAACTACATCAAGGATTATTTCTGAAACAGTATGGAGCTCGAATGCTTTTTCTCTCTCAGGTTTAAGAGTTCTTTTTTTATTTCCTCCTTCTTTACACATACTCTCTCCAGTACAGGTTAGCTCTGAGTGTTAGCGATGCTTGCTAATGTAAACACAGACCATATTACGTCCAAAACACGTCGTGCATTGTTTCTGATAGCGACGTTTCTGATTGGCCCGTGGGTGTAAAGCCTGCCCACATTTTAGTAATGTCGTCATGACGCAGAAAATCTGGATCAGCTCCGTTGTTCCCCCGTTTTTAGAGATGTGGGTACGGAGGAAAAGAGACAGGGTTTTTGTTTTCTAACACTTTGAGAGTCTCCTGACACCGGGGACACATGGTGATGTAGAGAAGACATCACAAAGTGCATTTTGCATGATAGGAGACCTTTACAAGATGATAACCTGAAATACTCTAAATGTGTGTGTGTGTGTGTGTGTGTGTGTGTGTGTGTGTGTGTGTGTGTGTGTGTGTGTGTGTGTGTGTGTGTGTGTGTGTGTGTGTGTGTGTGTGTGTGTGTGTGTGTGTGTGCCCCAGGACAACTTAAGGTCAAAGTAAACAGAGAAGTCATACACAAACATCTAATACAAATACATGTAACTACTACAGTGCAACAAAACAGGAAGATTAAATGTGGACTCACGACCTCTAGCATCGAAAGCAATATTGGTAAATGATTTAATATCAGATAATAAGATTGAGTTATGTTGTCTCACTGAAACCTGGAGACATGAAGAATATGTCCAGTCATATATAGGCACAGGCCGAGGAGGTGGAGTCGCAGCCATCTTTGACTCGAGTCTACTGTGTGAGAGAAAACTCCCTTCATACGCAACACACTCAATTCTTGAGAGGATCATAAATACATGGATCCTGAGATTGAAGGTCAAGCCGGTGACGAGTGATTATTAACATTTTTAAGTATTGGTAATAAAAATAAAAAATATTCAGAAAAATTCCGAATTTTGAGAAAAAGTTCAGAATTTTGAGAAAAAGTCAGAATTTTGAGAAAAAGTTAGAATTTTGAGATTTTGAGAAAAAGTCAGTATTCCTCCATCTTGTGACTGTGTAACTCCCTCTCTTGGATATCAGCATGTGAAGGACACTGTTCTGGAACTAGTTGATGCTCTGTATGTGATGACTCCTTCCATTCTGGAGAAGACATCCAAAACACGTCATGCATTGTTTCTCAAACCCCCAAAAGCAGAGTAGGGCCTCTTTAAGGTTGATCGTTTTCTCTACTTTATGAATTCCCTGTAACCATATCATTTCCTTAAAATGCAAATGAATATATACAAGAAGAAGGAGACCCAGGAGGTTAGCAGGAATGATCCGAGGGCCTCGACCCCGAGCCGACCTCTGGCTGCTCTCGGTCAGAAAGACCCTCCATCACTGTGCCTGCTTTAATGCTGTGACGAATGCAGCGAGCCCCAGAAACAGATCCAAGAGCAGCTTGGGTTTCTCCCAGAGATGGCAAAAGTACACACATCCTTTACTCGAGTAGAAGTACACATATCCTTTACTCAAGTAGAAGTACGTACACACATCCTTTACTCAAGTAGAAGTACAGATACTCGTGTTTAAAAATAGAAGTACTGACTAAACTTCTTTCCTCAAGTCAAAGTAAAGAGGCTTTGAAATGTACTTCAGTAAAAAGTACCCATAACTAGCAGCTGCTTTAAAGAGTACCTGACCTCCCTTTATATTAATAGAACAATAATGTCATTGTTAGCTAATGAATGTTTCCATGCTGAACAACGGCAACATGACAACGTTTCCATTGGTCCCTCTTCTTAGAGAAGACCAGGAAATGATGGATACACGGATCGTGTTCAAATCAATAGGCACGCAATGACTCTAAAGAATAATGATCACGCATCAAACACACATTCAGACTAAAGGAACCAGCTGTTTGGAAAATGAGAGAAGTAGAAAGTACAAGTATTTGAGTTCAACATGAGAGAAGTAGAAAGTACAGGTATTTGAGTTCAACATGTAAGAAGTAGAAAGTTCAGGTATTTGTGTTCAACATGTAAGAAGTAGAAAGTACAGGGATTTGTGTTCAACATGTAAGAAGTAGAAAGTACAGGTATTTGGGTTCAACATGTAAGAAGTAGAAAGTACAGGTATTTGTGTTCAACATGTAAGAAGTAGAAAGTACAGGTATTTGTGTTCAAAATGTAAGAAGTAGAAAGTACAGGTATTTGTGTTCAACATGTAAGAAGTAGAAAGTACAGGTATTTGAGTTCAACATGTAAGAAGTAGAAAGTACAGGTATTTGTGTTCAACATGTGAGAAGTAGAAAGTACAGGTATTTGGGTTCAACATGTGAGAAGTAGAAAGTACAGGTATTTGGGTTCAACATGTAAGAAGTAGAAAGTACAGGTATTTGGGTTCAACATGTAAGAAGTAGAAAGTACAGGGTATTGTGTTCAAACATGTAAGAAGTAGAAAGTACAGGTATTTGAGTTCAACATGTGAGAAGTAGAAAGTACAGGTATTTGAGTTCAACATGTAAGAAGTAGAAAGTACAGGTATTTGAGTTCAACATGTAAGAAGTAGAAAGTACAGGTATTTGAGTTCAACATGTAAGAAGTAGAAAGTACAGGTATTTGAGTTCAACATGTAAGAAGTAGAAAGTACAGGTATTTGTGTTCAACATGTAAGAAGTAGAAAGTACAGGTATTTGTGTTCAACATGTAAGAAGTAGAAAGTACAGGTATTTGAGTCAACATGTAAGAAGTAGAAAGTACAGGTATTTGAGTTCAACATGTAAGAAGTAGAAAGTACAGGTATTTGAGTTCAACATGTAGAAGTAGAAAGTACAGGTATTTGAGTTCAACATGTAAGAAGTAGAAAGTACAGGTATTTGTGTTCAACATGTAAGAAGTAGAAAGTACAGGTATTTGTGTTCAACATGTAAGAAGTAGAAGTACAGGTATTTGTGGTCAAATGTAAAGTAGAAGTACAGGTATTTGAGTTCAACATGTAAGAAGTAGAAAGTACAGGTATTTGTGTTCAACATGTAAGAAGTAGAAAGTACAGGTATTTGTGTTCAAAATGTAAGAAGTAGAAAGTACAGGTATTTGAGTTCAACATGTAAGAAGTAGAAAGTACAGGTATTTGAGTTCAACATGTAAGAAGTAGAAAGTACAGGTATTTGAGTTCAACATGTGAGAAGTAGAAAGTACAGGTATTTGAGTTCAACATGTAAGAAGTAGAAGTACAGGTATTTGTGTTCAACATGTAAGAAGTAGAAAGTACAGGTATTTGTGTTCAACATGTAAGAAGTAGAAAGTACAGGTATTAGTGTTCAACATGTGAGAAGTAGAAAGTACAGGTATTTGTGTTCAACATGTAAGAAGTAGAAAGTACAGGTATTTGTGTTCAACATGTAAGAAGTAGAAAGTACAGGTATTGAGTTCAACATGTAAGAAGTAGAAAGTACAGGTATTTGTGTTCAACATGTGAGAAGTAGAAAGTGCAGGTATTTGAGTTCAACATGTAAGAAGTAGAAAGTACAGGTATTTGAGTTCAACATGAGAGAAGTAGAAAGTACAGGTATTTGTGTTCAACATGTGAGAAGTAGAAAGTACAGGTATTTGGGTTCAACATGTAAGAAGTAGAAAGTACAGGTATTTGTGTTCAACATGTAAGAAGTAGAAAGTACAGGTATTTGTGTTCAAACATGTAAGAAGTAGAAAGTACAGGTATTTGAGTTCAACATGTAAGAAGTAGAAAGTACAGGTATTTGTGTTCAACATGTAAGAAGTAGAAAGTACAGGTATTTGAGTTCAACATGTAAGAAGTAGAAAGTACAGGTATTTGAGTTCAACATGTAAGAAGTAGAAAGTACAGGTATTTGAGTTCAACATGTAATAAGTAGAAAGTACAGGTATTTGAGTTCAACATGTGAGAAGTAGAAAGTACAGGTATTTGTGTTCAACATGTGAGAAGTCAAAGTAAAAGTCGTCAGAGAAATGAGTAGTGGAGTAAAGTACTGATACCAGAAACATGTACTTAAGTACAGTAACAAAGTATTTGTACTCCACTACTCCCCAACTCTATAATTGCTTCTTACATGTTTATCCTCCGACCATGGAGTGAAACAGAACATTATATTATAGGCTAATAAAGGAAAGGCAAGGCAGGTTTATGTACACACAGCAACAATGAATGAATGCAAAAGGAAGCCAATATTAAAAGACATTCAAACACAATAAAGCCAGAGCCAAGACAATGGAAAAGAAAAATCTTAAATATAATAAGGCAGGTAAAAAATTAAGTAAAACATATTTTTTGTATTGATTTGTATCAAAAGGAGAAGGTAGTAAACAAAAAATAACCCTGATCCTTTTTTAGTAAATACAATTATTCACATAAAAGGATAGATTGATCTGTGCAAGAAGAGTTTATGTGGAAAAACTAGTTTTTACAAGAATAAAACACGCACTTACACCGACTTAAAAACAGTGATTTAAGCTTCGATTCTCCGTCTCTAATGTCTGCAATGTGTGTAGGAAGGTAACAGCTCATCCTGGTGCTTGCTCTTACTGCCCCCTAGTGTCCATATGTATGTACTGCAGGCATAAGCAAGAATATTAAAGGTCCCCAATTACACTGTTTTTCATCAATACACAGGTCTCAGATATATACAGAACCTCTCTCTGATTGAGAACAGATCATTGCAGCATCCCATAATCCCCTCTGTTTCAGCCCTGTTTCTAAAGTGCTGATTCTGTGTCTGTAGCTTTAAATGCTAATGAGCTGCTGCTGGTCACGCCCCTCTGAGAGATGATTGGTTTAAAGAAACACAATGGTGCTCTAGGAGGAGATTCAGGTGATAAGGTGGGGGGGGGGGGTTACCTTGGTTGGTGATTGGCTAATGTATCTCAAGTAACAGTAGTTGTATTTACCTATGCCGTATTTGGAGCGGTAGTGCTCTTTGGTGAAGTCGTCACAGTCGGTGATGATCACCCTCCTTCCCCACACGTTCACTTCCCCCCCCACCCTCAGATCACTGTCCACATAGCAGTCATCCTGCAAAGCTCCAGTCTGCAAGGGAGAAGAGAGAGAGGGCAGGGTGAGAGGACAGAAAGAACACCTCTGGAAGTTAACCTGTTAAACCTTTTAGCTAATCTTACATGGATTTACATTTTGCAACGTTTAGTTATCAATGAACCGGGGGGCTGTTTCTTAAACCGGAAAGGGCCCTCCCCAAACTTCAGTTGTCACTCAGTTAGAGGAACACTATTTAAGATATCCTTATAAGCTATAGCATCTATATTGATATTAAGACATTTGGAATTGGACCTCAATTTGACCCTGAAGTAAGCATTTCCCCCACCACCGCTAAGCTAAACGCGGCTAGTGTTAGGCCATAAAGGAACTACAGCACGGTCACATGACTTCACAACGTCACCACCGCTAAGCTAAAGGCGGCTAATGTTGGGCTATAAAGGAACTACAGCACGGTCACATGACTTCACAACGTCACCACCGCTAAGCTAAAGGCAGCTAATGTTGGGCTATAAAGGAACTACAGCACGGTCACATGACTTCACGTCACCACCGCTAAGCTAAAGGAGGCTAATGTTGGGCTATAAAGGAACTACAGCACGGTCACATGACTTCACGTCACCACCGCTAAGCTAAAGGCGGCTAATGTTGGGCTATAAAGGAACTACAGCACGGTCACATGACTTCACGTCACCACCGCTAAGATAAAGACGGCTAATGTTGGGCTATAAAGGAACTACAGCACGGTCACATGACTTCACGTCACCACCGCTAAGCTAAAGGTGGCTAATGTTGGGCTATAAAGGAACTACAGCACGGTCACATGACTTCACGTCACCACCGCTAAGCTAAAGGCGGCTAATGTTGGGCTATAAAGGAACTACAGCACGGTCACATGACTTCACGTCACCACCGCTAAGCTAAAGGCGGCTAATGTTGGGCTATAAAGGAACTACAGCACGATCACATGACTTCACGTCACCACCGCTAAGATAAAGACGGCTAATGTTGGGCTATAAAGGAACTACAGCACGGTCACATGACTTCACGTCACCACCGCTAAGCTAAAGGTGGCTAATGTTGGGCTATAAAGGAACTACAGCACGGTCACATGACTTCACGTCACCACCGCTAAGCTAAAGGCGGCTAATGTTGGGCTATAAAGGAACTACAGCACGGTCACATGACTTCACGTCACCACCGCTAAGCTAAAGGCGGCTAATGTTGGGCTATAAAGGAACTACAGCACGGTCACATGACTTCACGTCACCACCGCTAAGCTAAAGGCGGCTAATGTTGGGCTATAAAGGAACTACAGCACGGTCACATGACTTCACATCACCACCGCTAAGATAAAGACGGCTAATGTTGGGCTATAAAGGAACTACAGCACGGTCACATGACTTCACGTCACCACCGCTAAGCTAAAGGTGACTAATGTTAACTGCTTTGTTGTCATATATCAGGTCATACTTTGAGGCTGTCCAGTAAGTAGCGTTTTCCCTGATTGTTGGAGTCGAACACGTTGAGCACTGTGCGGTCCGTCATCTGTCCCGGCTGCTTCATCATGGCTGAATGCTGAAACAAACAACCACAGACAGAAACTCATTTTACAAGATATTCACAGAACTCCGCATGCAAATATAAATAGACACTTCTGGAGAGAGAGAGATAGAGAGAGTAAAAGATAGGTAGGTAGAAAGAGAAACAGAGAGTAAGAGAGTACAGCAACAGAGTAGAGAAGTGCTGAGGTGATTTCCCATCGGATGGTGGATTCTGGTCAACCTTTAGAGCTGACATTTAATAAAAAAGGCATCAGAACAAACACAATTACTGGAGTGAAAACACACGCACACACACGCACACACATGCATGCACGCAGGCACACACACACACACACACACACACACACACACACACACACACATGATTGAGGCCTGGCTGTCTTTCAAGATGAATTAGGCTTGAGTCAGTAACTGGAGGAGAAAGGCAGGCTGCTTGAGGGAGACCGGAAGCTACAGCCTGTCAGACTGAATGAGGAGGGATACTTTGGAGAAAGAGGCAAAAAAGGCACCCAACCAGAAGAGAGGCACCGCAAGCCTTAGGATTAGTAATACACATTTAAAATGAAATGCAATAAATGCACAAGCTGGGAAACACATTTTGCAACACATCATGTGAGGGCAGTGGCGGCGCCAAGGGGGCGCTAGCTGAAGCACCCCCCTGGATAGCCATAGCACCCCCAAGAAATGTATGTCTTTTTTTTTATGTGTGTGAAATTCATAATTTGAAAAAGGATTGATTTGAAAATAATATGGTAAAGTAGCCTACTTCTAGGTCTCTGTGTTTCATTCAAGCTCTGCTCTCTGTGTGTGTGGCGCGAGTCATTCTGTGTGCGTGAGCGAGAGAGAGAGAGAGAGCGCGCACCGGTAGCCAACCGGAGATCGTTGTGGTTAGCATCTGGTGCTAGCTACGCTAACGGATATAAGGAGCTTTTTCAACGTGGAGGGAGAACTCTCTCCTGTCAGACTGAGAGTCTCAGATAACCTCATGCTCAGGTGAACAGTTTTATTATTATACTGCTGTGTTTATTGTATGTTTGTAACTCTGGCACAACATTTCCTTCGGGATAATTATAGTCTTATCTTATCTCAATCTCAATATTTATTTATTTATATCACATTTAAGACAACCTCGGTTGACCAAAGTGCTGTACAGGGAATAAATACAATATAAAATAACACAATGGGAGTAAAATAATAAAACAATCATTAAAAACATGATAAAAAGCACAATAACTAGAAACATATAAACACATACAAATGTAAAAATGTTCAACTCGTGTTAAAAGCCAGAAAGAGGTGAGTTTTTAGCTGAGATTTAAAAAGTTATCTTATGGTGTTGCAGTGCCTCACCCTGGGTAGTTTGCTGCGGTGGAGGAACTTTGCTGGGTTATCCCTGCCGGAGTTGGGGGTGATTGTCTCCAGGATCTCCACGGTGTCGTCGGACAGGTAGTAGTGCAGGATGAGTTGGTGGGGGTCTCCGAACACGCTCTCAGAGTCGTCCCAGAAGCAGCTGAAGCGCAGGACTTCACGGTCGTGGTCCAGGAACTGTTTCAGAGTGTCTCGCCTCTCGTACGGTCGCAGGGGCGTCATACTCTTTTCAATCTGGACGAAAGGAACCATGTGACATGAGATGAACCAACACATGTATTTTGTCAATTGTGTAACTTTTTTATCTTTAATTATTTTTTATGCATGCTTCTTAGGTAACATTTTGTATTTGATTCGATGTGATTTATTTCGAATGTGTAAAACAATAATACAAAAATCTAACATGAGAATTATTATACAATACAAAATTAAGCAATTTCAAATTGATATACAAAAATATTACTGATTCTAAATGATATATAAACAAACGATCTATTTAATTACACATCTGAAATGTTACACTTATTTAATCCCACTCCTTCTCCCAAAAACTAAATTATTAACATGTAAATATTTGTATTTATTTTTTCTTTCCCTCCGGTTTTTTTCATTTTGCAATAACTTTGGTTGTTTTGGTGCAAATGGCCTTCTTTCAAGTAGGAGGAGAAATGCCAGTGTTCTCCTCCGGTTTACAGGCACTGTGTACATTTTTTGTAACAAGGCTATTTTCTTGATCTATTTTGGAAAATAACTGCCTTTTTGTGCATGTTTTTCATAGAATTCACGCAAATTCATGTTTTCAAACTGGCAGTTAAAGGGTTAAAATCCTGGCAATAATTTAATATTTGCTATTTTTGATCAGGACTGAAGTTGATTGAAAGAACTAACCCCCAAACAAAATTAAAAATATGAATCTGTTATCATTTTATAGCAATGTATGGAAGTGGACATTTTTGTCCCGAATGACTAATGTGTGAGTTTTTGTTTAATCTGATTCTGTGCAAAAACTAATAATGCACCTAAATCTATTT